CACACACACACACACACACACACACACACACACACACAGTCTATCAATATTTCAGCAGTTAATTACCCCAGCGGGGGTCTGGGACAAAGGTTGAGTGCAGTTTGTCACATATCAGATTATATTTGGAACGATGAGACACATTAACAAGAAGATGAAGCAGAAACAAATATTTCTCTGTTTGGTTTGTTTTTCTTTATAAAACCTCCTGTTAGTCACTGTGAACAGCTCAGTGCAACATTTTAACCTCAGATGTTGTTTTATCTTTCATTCATCTCTTCACTTCCAGTACTTTTATCAGACACTGTTGGACTTTTTGTTTTGAGAATCAATAAAAATCAATAATTTATTTTTTGTACCTTTTTTAAATCATCCCAGCATCACTGAGCAAGAGGCGGGCTGCAGCCAGTGCACAAATCTGGTTTGCAGAATATTTACTTTCAAAGCTGCAAAAAAAAAAAAATCTCCTTTTAGTGTTTATTTTTTAGTTGAAATCTCTTTTGTGTTGCTCGTGTCAAAAATTAATTGCAAATAATTCGGCAAACTCTTCATCTCAGCTCATTCTGGGACTCAAAAAGCAGCAAAACCAGACTTTAGTCAGCCTCAACTCTCTGTGTTTAGAGACCCTGAGGGACCCGGGACCCGGGACCCCCACCCCACCCCTCCCACTGAGCAAGGCACTCTGACAGAGTAAAACCCACTAATGGGCCTCAGCTGGGAAATATTGATCCTAAAGGCAGACGAGTTGAGGGAACTTTCAAGGGCGTCCCAAATAAGTGCCCCCAAAATGTTTGATCATGTTTATGCTCTGGAAGATCCTTTTGTTTTAGTGACATAAAAATAAAAACTCATGTTTTAGTAAGTTTACTAAACCATTACATGTGTTAGATTAAATGTTTCAAGCTGCTGAAAATTAGGTTTTATATAAAAACTTCAGTATTTGCAGTGATCAGACGATGGAAATTTCACTCATGATTTATTATATTTGTGATGACAAAGTAAAAATCAGGCTGATGAAGCTCAAAACATCACAACAACCATCAGCTGTTTAAAAATATTAATACATAAAACATATTCTACATTAACAGTTTGTGTTTTATCAGAAATAACTAATTAAAGCTAAAATAATAATTACCTTTTTGTTCCAGAGGTGGTCCACTTCCAACCTGTTGGTTTTATCCAGTCCAGATGTTTTGTTTTATTTTGTCCCTCTTTTATGATTTTAAGTGATGAATTCTCACAAATAACTTCATCAATTGTTTTCTGAAGGCGGAGTGTCTCCCTCCACCTCCTGCTGCGACCGGCGACACGAGGAGGAGCTGCTCCTGCTGCAGGAGCCCACCGAGTCTGTGGGGGGTGATGTGGTCCAGGAGACAGGAGGGTGTAATTAGACACACACTGACAATAAAGGGCTGACAGAAGGAGCAGCAGCTGAAATAGATCATTCCTGATGTATTTTATGTAGTGTCATAAAATGGAATTTGCTTACCACCATAATTATAAACATTCAGATTTTACTGTATTATTTCAAACGCATTGCTTTTTATATTTTATATTTCAGATGTGATCATCCTAATATTTTTACCTGAATGTATTATTTTCTTTAAAATATATATATTTTTAATATTTATAACATAAAGTGTTTTTCTAGTACCCAAGAAGCGTAATGTTAATTACATCTGATAAGTTAAAGTTCTAAAAATCAGGACAAAATGAACAGAAGTGGAATATGCCTTGGCATTTTTGCTGCCCTCTAATGGACTAACTGTGTAATTACAAGATACATGCTATAATTTCGGGTATTTTTTAAACAACGCAATAAAACTTACACAAATAAATACATAATTAAAAAATAAAAAGGCTTCCGTGTGTTATTTGCAAGTTTCAGTAATCCCACAATAGAAACATAAACATTGAGACCTAATTTTTGTTTGTTTGTTTGTTTTTACAGATTTTACTGTTGACACATTAAAAATGACTACTTGTGGGATGTCCTGATGCATCTCAGCAATCCAGGTAGAAAAAAATCTAAAAGAAAATAATAAGTATGTTCTCTGGGTGGGTTCTTTTTTACTTGTGGGATAATTAGCCAAAGAAATAACAGAAACTGACAAAATAACATATTTTGTTCTCATTACACTCTGGGAAACCGTAAATTCCGACCCTCCAGTGTAACGGGAACGCAGCATAAACGTGATGTCGAACATTTGTTTGGGTGTGCTTCATTTAGTCACCAGCGAATGTGATGTCGCGCCAAGTGAATGGAGACTGCGTATAAACAAATAACGGCACATGCGCCGGTGATTTAAAGGAGCGAATCACAAATCGAAGCCCCAAATTACATCATTCTAACATTTTTTGTAACGGTTTTTTAATCGATTAATTCAGTTTCAAAGTGTTTTACTTTAATCAACTGAGCTATTTTTGTTAAATCTAAATTTTATTTCTGTATTCTTGCCCGAGCCGAGCGTCACGTCGGGGTGGGGCTGTCTGTCGTGTTGTTGTTGCTGTCCTGCTGGGCGTTAAAACCATTGATAAGACTCCTTAATCTCACAGCTCAAACCTGGATTAATACACGAATAGCCTAACTGTCATTTTGCTGTTGGATCTTATTTGGGTTTGTTTTTCTCGTTTTGTGGTCGCTGTCCTGAATCAACATGGGAAGCTGTTTAACTGTGGGGCCAAACGAAGCGCTGGTGGTCTCCGGTAGGTTCTCATTCAGTCTTGTGCTAAATGTAGCCAGCTAGCTACCTGGTTATCTTTAATTATGTGCTAATGTAGCCAACTAGCTAGCTGGCTAAATTTGCACAACATTGTAGATAAGCGGCTAACTAACGTGATTTATTTTATCAGGTGCATACCGAAAAACAACAATAACACTTATCTCTATTTAAATAATTTGTATGTGGCTGTTTATGACTCTGAATTTAATTAAATCACAGCTGTTTAGCATATTAACCGATTGCTAATGTTAGCTAACGGAGGAGTCATTTCCGGTCAATTTTCGTGACTCAAACACATTTTTCAGATGAGTTTTATCATATTCATAATGCTGCTAGTGTTATTTTAATGAGTCTAATTCAGCTATTTTAAAGTTTATAAGCGTTTCATTCTGACAGTTGCTTTTAATAGTCCTTTTTATATGTATAAAACGTTTTTATGCAGCACCTGAGACAGACAAATTTATTCTATTCTATTCTATTCTATTCTATTCTATTCTTTTGCTATTACCTTTGGCTCAGTATGTGAAATCCTCTAAGTTCTGTAACTTTTATTAAATTATAATTTATGAGTTTTGAATTTATTAATGTTCCCTACATCAGTTGTAGGTTGATATGTTTGAATATATTAGATAAAAAAGCAAAGTATTTTCTTTTTAATCGGTTAAGGATTTAGATTAAAAATATAATAAATAAATTTGAGCTGAGACAGTAGTGCTAGTTCTGATTAAATGGCTTTATTTTATTTCCAACCGTTATTTGGAAATATTGTTAGAAGTTTGATAATATAAATTGTTGTTGTTGAACTTTTTATAACTTTAACATATTCTCTTCCTCTGAGTTTGTTTTCTCTGCACGCCAGGAAATGTCCCTAAATTCATGTCTGAACTCACGTTGATGACTTCTGCAGACCAAACGTCTAGAAAATCTCTGCTGTTTTAATGCAGAAATCATTTTATTTGTTCTTAGATTTTGTATTTGGCTTTTTGTGGCTGTTTGTGGCACATTGTCTCAAAAGAGCTTCACAGAATGAAATTACCATTAAAGATGAAAAATATAAGTATTGAATGAATCTGGGGACTTTTCATTGTTTGTCTTTTTCTCCTTCCAAACAGCTGTGTTTCATAAATGATGTGTTACTGATTAAAGCCTTGTTGGTGTTTTTGTTTAGGTGGATGTTGTGGTTCCGATACGAAGAGCTACATCGTAGGAGGTTGGGCATGGGCCTGGTGGCTCCTGACCAATTCCCAACGGTAACAGAATAATTGAAGCGCTGACGTCCTCTTGTGCTAAAATGGGATTGAACAAAGGTTTTCAAAGATGCCACAACTGAGATGAACTTGTGTTGTTGTGAATTTCCACAGGGAATTTAGTCCCATTATGAGCAGGCTCATAGAGATGAAAGCTACTTCTCCATTTTAGATTTCATATTACTCTGCAGATGTTTCAAATGTAAAATAAACCAATAAGTTTATCTAAAATAATAAAAAATCACAAATCAAACCTTTGACTGCAGCATTTCTCATCAGTCTCAGAAACATTGCCTTTAAACTTTGGTTGTCGTCGCTGAGCGTTCTTGTTCCTGATTTTATTTATTTATTTATTTATTTATTGATTGATTGATTGATTGATTGTGTTTCTGTCACTATTAGAGCTTCCTGTATCTTCCATGACTCATTATGATTCATAACACTACTGACAGTATAATCTGGAAATGACAAACATTGGCCCAGGTTAATCAGATGCTGCTAATCTGATTAACCTGGAGTTGCATTTGCTCTTGCATCCACATCATGGGAGGTTGGCTTTAGTTCCATGAACCTTTTTGGTTTTAATTATTCTGTCATCTGTAGTCAGAGGAACATGGAGCTGCTTGGAGGTGGTCTTATAGCATGAATATCGCTAATCTTCATTCTGAGTTTCTCTCACAGCCGTTTGGTTTCTCTGCTCCTGGTTCTGCGTGAAGCCCACAGCCACACCAAACTACCCATTGGCTGTGTAGCTTCATGCTACACGTTAAAACCTTGGTACTCCTGATAGACCTGTCAAAACACAGATTCAAACCTGTTTGTTTCTAATATTTCCTGCTTGTTTCGCCTTCGTTCTCCTGCGCAGGTTGAGTCTGGAGATCATGACTCTGCAGCCTCGATGTGAAGACGTGGAGACGGCTGAAGGAGTCGCCATCACTGTCACGGGGGTGGCCCAGGTAGGTTCAAACTTACCATTTAGTCATCAGATAAGAACGTTCACTTTCCTCATGTTTCTATGAGCCTTACAAAAGTTAACGTCTTATTGGAAGAATAGACTTTTTTTGTGTCAGTCACCTCCATTTGATGACATTTCTGCACAGTTGAACACTTTGATCTGCCTCTGTGACGGTTTCTGCTTCAGGTTAAAGTCATGACAGAACAAGAGCTGCTGGCTGTAGCTTGTGAGCAGTTTCTGGGTAAATCCATCGTGGAAATCAAGGCTGTTCTTCTGCAGACATTGGAGGGACATCTGCGCTCTATTTTAGGTACGAATAAGAAAAGTTAACTTTAAATTATAATTGCTTTATCACTCAGACTGCTGAATATTGTTCTGATTTGTTCTTTTTATAAATCCAGAGTGATGTCTGCAAACTTCTTTCAACATCAAAGACTATAAATTAAAATATTCTTTTGGAAATCTATAAAACTATAAAAAAGACACATTTTGTTTGAAAAATATCTCCACAGTGAAACTTAAACTTGTAGGTCCAATTGCTCTCTTCTATTTCAGTTTTTGTGTATTGGCCATTAGACAACAGAAACATCAATAATAAACTACAGGTAGAAGGAAACATTTCCAAATAATGTTTTAAAAACACCTCATAAAATTTTTAAATCTCTACACATCAGTTGGTTTATTCAAACCGTTAAATTGTGACATTTTTTTCTTTTTTAATGAATTCTATTAGTCTGAAAACAGGTGATTTCCTGCTGCCGGTGAAGATGGAGCTTAGTTTGATTTGTGTAAAGGTAAAAGCTGAGATGTTTGTGTTGCAGGGACACTGACCGTGGAGCAGATCTATCAGGATCGAGACCAGTTTGCCAAACTGGTGAGGGATGTCGCAGCTCCTGACGTGGGCAGGATGGGCATTGAGATCCTGAGCTTCACCATCAAGGTTGGTGGGAGGAGATCAACCAGACGCTCTGAAAACCCAGAAGCGTTAGAGATACGTCAGGTCGCACCGAGGGGAAAAAAACAACTAAAAGGCCATCAGATAAACTGAAGGAAGCATTGTTTATGAGAATGTTAAATACGTGTTGTCACTTATCCAGCATGTCATTTCTTTTATTTTAACATTTATTCTCAAATATGTGTCAGTTTCTCTTCAGTCGGCTGTGGTTTTGTGCAGTCAGGATGTTATTCTCTGCAGCTCAGCAGCTGTTTGTGTTTGCAGGACGTGTACGATAAACTGGACTACCTGAGCTCGCTCGGGAAGACTCAGATCGCTGCAGTCAGGAGGGACGCGGACATCGGTGTGGCTGAGGCTGAGAGGGATGCTGGGATACGGGTAAACATTTATCTGTGGAAGTATTCTGCTGTGCATGAAAAACCAGCTGATCACAGCTCTGTTTTTGTTTTTCTGTCTCCTAGGAAGCAGAATGTAAGAAGGAGATGATGGATGTGAAGTTTTTGGCCGACACCAAAATGGCCGACTCCAAGCGAGAGCTGGAGCTGCAGAAAGCTTCTTTCAATCAAGAGATCAACACTAAGGTTGGACACAATTTACATTTTAACATAATTAGGGCTGCAACAAGGAATCGATAAAATCGATTATTAAAAGCGTTGGCAACGAATTTCATTATCGATTCGTAGTGTCACGTCACGTGATTTATGTGTCCCTCACCATGTCGCGGAGCCGTTTACGTCACCCGCAGAGCGTTGTCAATGCTGGCTGACCTAAAAAAAGGTTTGGGAAGAAAAAAACTACCTGTAAAGATCTGCTCTCTCTTGAGACTCGAATGAAAAGTAGAGACTTCGAACTTTAAATAAGTTTTTAAATTGTGTTTTTAGGCCACGTAGATCTGAAGTTATGATTGAAAGTATATGCAACATTATATGCAATTTTTTTTAATGACCGTCTGATTTGATGCGAGCTGCGCTGAAAGGAGGAAGCAGGAGAAGCACGTCCCGTGGGTGTGTGTGTGTGTGTGTGTGTGGGGGGGGATTAAACCTGCTTCTCTCAGGCCAGAAATATAAAACCCTTAAGTTTGTTTTCTGACCGAGGCTCAAAGGTATTTGATGAGCAGCAAAAAGGTTCAGGATGAAGGGAAAAAAGACTCGAGCAGAACTCCTGGTCTGACTCAGTAGGGGAGGGGGTGCTGCTTCAGAACCGCTTACTGGGTCGTTTTAGCCACAGACAGAACCAACAAGAAGG